AAAACAAAAATCCTACTGTAAAAACTAAATAGTAGTTAGCCCTGAAAAAATTATACTGCATGCTTGTCTAAAACTAAGCCAAGTAACTCACAATAAAGGCTCAAAACTGTGTATCTGCAGGTAACAAATCTGCACTTGTAATGGGAAGAGCAATGACCTTAAAGGTCTTTTCCATTTGAAAGCTGCTATGATTTGTCTTAGTCTTATGCCATTCAAGAATGCATTGCTTCAGTCTTCAGACATTTGATGTTCCTGCACAAATAACACAGGACATACAAGAAATACAGATGCTTCTGTTGCTTTGAAAAATGAACTAGGTGAAAGATAACACTGCAGTTTTAAGTCTGGCTATGCTCAGGTAAATTCAAATCCACCAGTTTACTATAATTTGAATTTTTTGTAATAGTTTAATACCAAATATATAGTTTTCAAGGAAAAAAAAAAGACATTTTGACTATTGACCCTGTAGCTTCATTCCTCAAATCAGAAAAACATGGTGGCAAGCATTAAAAAAGGAAAAGTTAGTGGAAAGTAATCGGAAGTTAAATTCAAGGGTATCTCTAAGGCTTCTTTGCAATCGCAGTACAGACATCTGTGTGAGTCTCTGTTTTTCAACACACCTGAGGCCTTTCACCCGCAGTTTAACAAATTAATTTCAATGTAAAGACCTCCAGCTTATTTAATTTCTTCGTAGCAGTATTTGCCCCCCAGTCTCTCACCGTACTTTCTGTTCATAATAATGAAATACTTACTTATTTAAGCTCAAGTCAACTTACAACTTTGTAGTCCACTGGCCAGGTTAACAAAAAAAAGTTTCTTATCAGTGTTTGACAGTCAAATAAGATATCATTTTTTTTTTTTTTTCAACATGAAGTGTTTAAAGTCCTGTCTTTTTCTAACAAGGAAATTTAAGTAAAATATTATTGCTAGTGTGACTGAGCTACTAATGGAATTGCTCTGAGTTCTGCTTGTTCAGGTCATGACTATTGTGCCTTTGGTTCTTCTTTCAGTCCCTTGATTCAACACATTTGAATGTAACTTGGTCTTTTATGTTGGTAGAATATAAAAGGAAATATGAAATGCAATTATCGTTCCATGATTATGCAATTAAGTGAAATAATTATTATCAAATCAAAAGTCTAGAATTCAAATACTCCTTTAAATGATAATAATAATATAAACCAATACCTAAATGAAATATCAGCTACCGATTTGTAAGTTGCAATAAAGGGCACATTTTTACCCTGTCTCTCTGTTCCGCATCCTTATGGCATATTGTAGATAGTCTTTTACTAAAAACGTTCCAGCGCGAACTTGTTTACAATTCTAGTGTTGTTGAGCGCATCACTTTGGTTACAGTCATTCTGAACAGAGCTGTTTTAGCTGTGTCAGTTAAAACATGAGATCACTGAGACAATACAGCCGTAAGGGGCAACATGGACAATCTCAGACCCAGCACCAGACATGCTGCATAACACGCTCTTTCTCCCACTTTCTCCAACTTATCTTCCTCAAGTGACTGATTTCTGTAGTCCTCCTCCCTGACTAGGAATCCAGATCTACTTTTTGATGTGTTCTTTTTCCTCAGTCTGAATTACTAAATTCTAAATTATATCTGAACATTTTGGTCCTATCTTGTCTCCAGTAGTGGCTAGGAAAAGCTCACAGAGGACAAGATGCCACTACACTAGGTCTCATCTTAAACATGGTGTCTGCACTAATGACAGATAAGCCTTAATATTTTTTCCATTAATTGTTAGCATTAACTATTATAACTTTGGAAAGTCCTCTACCTGTCCACTATACATCTTTGCAGCTTGACTGCAGTGATTCCCCATGGTAATAAGTTAGGTTAAGTACAAAACATGAAAAGATGCCCCATTTTTCAATCAACTCTGTATTCACCATCTTTTAATTCCACCACACACCTTACTGTTTTGTTGTTGAAAACCAGCAGTCTGCCCATATACTTTGGCATCTTATAATTTCTATTTCTGGCTGACAAGAACTGCTGTATTTTTCTTGTTCCAAGTATATCTCCCTTTCCAAGGGCTTCTGGGCAACTCTGCAGTCTGTATCCCATTATCCCTCAGTATACTGAACACAGTAGGGCAGCTACAGAATAGGCCAAACTGCTGCTTTTTGCATGCATTACAGTTTTAATCAGGCTCTTCAGTTCTGTGCTGAGATACTTCAGAAATCTACCACATATGACTTCTTCCATGATTTACAAAGGAGGCATATATTCTAAGTATAGATAATAATTGCACCATTTAAATGATAATACCAAGTTGTTTTGTATGGGGAGGAGATTCATGCAGGGCATTTTTATCATGAACAGCTCTTTCATAGGGCTATCTATCCTCACACCAGATGTCAAATACAAAAAGAAATACTTTGGCATGAATAACAAAGTTCATTTGACTGAAGGATTTACCTCCTAGGAACAAGAGCCTCATAAAACATAAACATTGGGAGCAAAAAGTAAGCCACGTAAGGGCTTTTGCAAAAATTAAACCCATAACTTGCCACTAGAAACGGGATATTTCATCTGTTCAATAAGCACTAAAGTTCTCTTTGTTTTTATGGCATCGTAATCTTTGATTACTCTGATAAATATTTGGACTACACAAAACATTGCAATGGAACTAATCACAGTTATAAAAAAAACTATGTGTGAAAATGAATTGGGAATGCAGTGATACCAGCACATTTTAGAGAAGTTCAAATACAGAACCACATTATTTTAACTGGCTCCCAGCCTCATTCTTTTATGTCTCCATGTAGTCATTTACACCTGAGCAAGATGGTTATGAAAGTTGTTATACTTGCTGGCTTTGCACAAGCAACGTATCGGACATGGATTACCAGCCTTGCTTTGCGTGACTGGCTGAACCCAAACCACACAATGGACTAGTAGCAAATTTTGGCAAAAAAAAGGGTGGTCCTGTGTTGAGGATTAGATCTCTTTATGCTGAAGTGTATTTGTGGAATTCATGCTCTCATTCACAACAGCCTCGGTCTCAAGAGGGAGATCGTTCCTTCCCCTTCCCTTCAACTCATCCACTATTTCCCTTTGGTTTGGTTTTACTGCTCAGACCACAGACCAGATCATCATACCACTGGCAGATTATGTGCGTAATCTTACTCCACTCTTTGTTTAAAATTACAACTCTCTCCATACTTGTTACAGTACTCTGAGTGAATGTAAGGTTGCAGAAAGGCTCTAGGCATGTCTGTATTGTTTCCCAGTGCAAAGACTATTCAGCGCTATTTATTCTTTTACAGTAGGAGAGGGAATCCTGCTGTAATTCAGGATTCAGAGCGCCATGCACCATTCAGATGCCAGGGGCCTATATTCTGCCCACAGCTGAGCTGGAGAAGATCTGTAGTCAAGAACAGCAATTCAAGAAGAGCTTTCCAATACCTAGAACTGCTTTTTATAATTCAATGTAAGGAAAATGATCAGACTTCTTTGGGGACAAGAAAAAAGCAACACGATTACTTTCAAAAGCAAAATGCTTTTCTCTTCCTCCTTGTATTCTGAACAAATGCATTAATGTAAAGAAAGTTCAAGTGCAAATCAGGTCAGATAAGAAAGTAATTCCAGTGGTGAAAGTCACACCTAGTATAGCACCGGCAACATTTATGAAATGGTAACAAGAATATATTTGAATCAATGAGCTGCATATTTATGTCACTGATGCGATAGTGTCACGTACTGTCAAATATTTTTAACATATTACTTCTAACAGCTGACGTCTGTGTTTGGTTCCAGCAGACTAAACCCAGAATAACTGAACCAAAGCCAGTGGAGATACTTCAGATGTCACTGATTGGAACAAAGAACGTGAATTTGCACTTAGCATTTATATAGTCCTTTTCATCTTCAAAGAGCATCACAAACATTAGCTAGTTCTAATTCTCTCACAATGACCTTCACGCTAACCTTTTGGGATAAAAGTAATATACTGTAAGAAAAAAACCTGACAAGATGTGTAATCAAGCATACACCAAGCCTCAGACGTGTAAACTATCTGTGCCTTGACCTCTGTCTCTGCCTCATGGTAGATTTTATCTTGTCAAGAATATAAGGCCTTTCACTACGGCTCAGGTATTAATTCACCATACCATGTATTTTACTAACATAATATGATGGTAATAATCCTTGAATAACAGATTTACTATCATAGTTATAGGATACAGCTATTCCTTTTTAATAGATAAGGAACTCAAAATAATACTGCATCAAAACATTTGCTGGAACCTGTCACAGGACAAGCCAGGGACACATCTAGGTTAGATGTTGGGATTCCATGGCTTTGAGTTCCTACTCTTTAGTCATTCTGGGATTTTTTTTTTTTACTCCTTCCAATTCAAACTAGGAACTTCATAAGTCTCTTTTAGAAAGCTTTCTTAGAAGCAGCAGAAGCTTCCTTTATGTATCAGTTCTCTCTGCCCTCCAACCCAGACTTGCAATTTGATTATCAATTCTGGGTGTCTCTAAGCCCAGAATCTTGAATAGGTTCCCCACGTTCCAGTTGCTTGTGCACTTTGTTATGCAGAGGAATAGATTGAAGCAGATAGTGCTCATTTTCATGGCGACCCAGAACAGCTATTGTTACAAGAACACCTTTAATCTCCTGTTTCTGAATTGAATTCAAGTGGGGAGAGATGAAAGCATCTCACAAATCTGCTACTACAGCTGGTACTTCTTAGTTTATCATATGCTAGTTCTAATTCTCTTTGATTCTCCTTAAAATTATTGCTTCTATTTCTTAATTTGATGACAACTAGGCATTCATTGCTATTTTTGACTACGAAAAAACCCTCCCCTCCCTCTTTCTTATAGCTACTTATTCAGGAAAAAAAGCCCCAAACTTACTGCATTTTGGTATCAATGTATGTATTTAACTTCTCCCTTGGTAGGTTTTCTTATGCAGCATACAAATGAGCAGCTAAATAACACTTCTCTACTTACGGTTCAGGGAAAGACTTACAAAACAAACTGAAGAGTGAAAGAAGAGTAAGGGTCATGCTGATATGAAGGGCATCAGTTGCGCTGCAGTCCATTTTGGATTTCTTGCAGGAACACACTTGTAATTTCAGTTCTGTGTTGTTAGTCAGAGGTGGTTTTCCAGAATCTGTCACTGAGATTGGGATGTTGTAATTGGCCTTTTTCAGGTTTTGAAGCAGGATGACCTGGGCATGAGTATCTGCAAAGGATAAGGTGAGAATTAGCCAAATAGCGGTTGTTTGGAAGGGAAGAGGAATCTGCAAATAATATTAGACATGCCACAGTTACTCATGGAAATTAAGAAGAAAATGAGAATGCTCTAAGGAAAAGATTAAATAATTGACTTGGAGGTAAGAAGAAGCAGTTAGAGAAATTCTTTCATGGGCTGAGAGCTAATTGCAAACACATTCCAAACCCCACCAAAAGACAGACTTTTAAGAGCCCCTTTTGTTTAAATACCTTATTTGGTCTGCAAATTATTGGTAGAATTTGCCTGTGGAAACTAATATATTAACAAAATGCTAAGGCATGTCATCCCCAAAGCAACACAACAGAGAAGAATATATTTATTTGCCAAAGGCAAAAACCCTTCCTGCAAGGAAGTACTGGCAAAGCTGCTTAACTACAGTCCCAGTTTGACTGAGAAGGCAGTGAAGGGAAGTAATGCCCCTTCAGATCTACAGATCTGCTCCACCTGAGCAGCACTGGGTCATAACAGCTATCGCTACCCAGGTGAATGTGCTGACTCTTTTAGGGGGTTAACAGAGTGGGGGTTTGATATTTGGAGAACTGCAAAGAAAATGACTCCTCTGCTTTGCCCACGACAACCTGCAGGCAGGTACAGACATCACATCCATCATCAGGTTTTTCTAAGAACAATGTGAAATGAACTGCTAAAAGATTCGATCGTGACAGAGACAAATAATACATACTAAAACCCAAATAGAAATAATATACATTAAAAAGAAATGTAGTAGTTTGTGCCCACAATTTGCCATACGAACATTCTGTAGTTGCATAGCATGTGCTTTGATCCTCTTGCCAATAGCGTACGGTCCTAGTGCCTTTGGGTATTTTATTTGCAAAGAGTCCAAATACTTAAAATCAGGAATTTTTTCAAGTACATTGTTAAAGCGCATGCAACAGTTTGGTGCTGTCCTATAGCAAAGCCTTGTGCATCTTGTGCAAACAAATTCCATGCCATGAAATACAGTAATCTTTACAAAACTGTAAGTCATTAGTAGCCTTTCTTTAATGCAAAGCTAAAAGAGGGAAGTTTGGTCAACATAAGAAGAGGAAAAAAGTTCAGATTTCAGAGGAAAAGGCAGACAATCATCCCACCAGGCAGCTGGTATGAGCACAAACAGCACAGTGTAAAGCAGCAGCAATGGATCCATCCTGCAGGACTTCCATGCACAACTGCTCCTGAATTCACATAATGGGCAGCCTCAGGGTGAGTATACTGGGATGTAGAGGTGGGAGAACTAAATGCATATGAAAAAAAGGTAATAGACTTACTGTTAAGCTTGGCAACTCTCCACAATTTTTCTGGGCCGGATTGCTTACTCAGTTCAAATTTGAATGGATCTGTGTTGGGATGAAGGTCTTTGTCCGATGCCCCTAGTACCACTACCTTGAGATCTTTTGCATCGTCACAAACTTTTGCCAGTGTTGGATAAAGGGATGGGACATTGTCATTGACATCCTCCAAGGTGATGTGTAAAGTTCCTGTACCTGTAGCGGGAGGGTTACCTATATGAAAAAACAAACATATGTTTATTAAATCATACTTCCATAAACACTTGCTGTTATTTGTACCTCCATGCTTGCAAAGGGAAATAGTTTTGTCCGATGCCCCTAGTACCACTACCTTGAGATCTTTTGCATCGTCACAAACTTTTGCCAGTGTTGGATAAAGGGATGGGACATTGTCATTGACATCCTCCAAGGTGATGTGTAAAGTTCCTGTACCTGTAGCGGGAGGGTTACCTATATGAAAAAACAAACATATGTTTATTAAATCATACTTCCATAAACACTTGCTATTTGTACCTCCATGCTTGCAAAGAGAAATAGTTTTTATAGTTCTTACCTCTGTTATATGAAAATTATGGCTTTAAAAACACCTGTTGAGTCACTATTGTAAATTTGTTGCTGTATTTGCAGAATGCAGCCTGTCTGATTCTTTACAGTATGGATAATTATTCTAAGGAAGCCTCTGGGAGAGGAATATTTTGAAGTTAAAATGAGTTTAGGACATTAATAGATATCTGGAAAAGAATCTGTTCATAACCACATACTGAGAGAAACATAGTAGGAAGCATCCCCTAGATAGACAGCATGGTCTTAAAAGAATCAAGAACAAGACAAGTAAGAGGAAAAATGACAGCAGAGAGGAATCAATTTGTATGGTGGGTACCCCTAAACAGAACAGGACCAGATCATTCCCCAACAGCCCTTGGAGCCACATTTAGTTATGTCAGCAGAAGTGAAACCTGTCAACGTGCAACTCTAGAAAATGAGATCTTTTATTTCCCAGAGCCACCCAGTGTTAGCAGTGGAGTTTCAAACTTTCTCAAATTATTTGCCAGCCTGCCTCAGCCCTGACCTGAAAGAACCAGCTTCAGAGGTGAGGATGTTGTTTATTCACCGCCGCACCGCTACAAGCCTTTGCGCCAAGGCTGTGACTGACAAACCAGGCATGGTGCTGGAAGTGTTCGTAACGGAGACGTCTGCCCACTGGGAGCTGGACTGAGACTAGCACCTCATTTTACAGAGGTCAGAGAGGAGCTGACAAGTGGTAATAACTTTCAGTCAGTACAGATGTGTGCCATGGTTGAGCCAGTAACCTACTGCTTTCAGTCTAAAGCTCAATATCTTATAACGGATCCCTTTGCCATTTTAACTGATCTCGAGGTTTTCGAAATGCACGTTATTTCCTTCGTTGTATACCACACTTAATAATTTCTCATTTAAAATGCTGCACTTCTGGGTTGTTTGTGTTACTCGTTTTTCTGGTTTAGTACACAAGATCTATGATCTCTGCACTTCCCTTAGCAGGCAGAAAGGATTCAAGAGGTTGCACTTAACCTGTAAAGCACTAGTGCAATGTGTCACAGTAGTTTTAAGTTTAGCACTGAAAGAGGTACACTTTAGCATAATTACCCTGCCTATAGCAGCCCAATAAACTATGGAGTTATTGCTGCACTGTGAATGCATCCTAAGGGAGAAGTAAATACCCTGTGGTCTGGATCTGATAAATTACTAACTGTAGCAGAATGCAATTAGTCCTTTCAATAACAAATGTTACTAATGGTGACACTTCATCTGTTTCATGCGTAACAAAGGCAGAATTTTCATAGTTCTTTAGCTTTCCCCCCCTCCTCATCTTGCACTTTGTCATCAGAAGGGTTAGGGTTGAGTTCTTTTTAATGAAAAAGAAATTATTTTTCTCTTTTTATTGGACTAATTGAATTTGCAGAAAGACTCCAATACATTTTTTGTTCTTGATATATTATTAAGTAAAGTCATACGGCAGAATGGATGAAAAGACATTCGAGTATTTGAAATATGATCATAAAAGCCAGCCTTTCATGCACTTAATTAAACTGCTGTCTTTAATTTTGAATGCATTATTTCCACACTGGACTGATAATGTCTTATGCACTGCCCTTCTTATCTTTCTCTGAAGTCAGTAATATTAAAATCTGCCTTTTGAAATTAAGAAGCCAACAGCATTATGAATGTACTGTTATTTTGTCAAACGCAGATATGGCTGCATTTTCTCTGCCATGCTAATGTTTCACTATCTTTGAACGGCTTATGGGCCAGTCAACTATTACGCACAAATAGAGAGAAAGGAAATTGCTTCTGTCCATTTCAATGACTTATTCTCTGGTTGGTTTATTTATAATGATTTAAACAAAATATTTTGGTGATTTATGAAGACCTCCAAAAGAAAAATAAGCAAATGTCAAGGTCATAAACTGAAGCTTGTTAACACGCATGCCATAAAATATACAAGAAAGGAATCAAGGAAAAATGGTCACAACATATCCATTGGGAATATAGGACTTCCATAACTTTGGCAGTATTATGCCTTTGAAATAATTCAAAAATCCCATGATCTCCAGACAGTTTTGGTTTTGAAATGAATGATTTTCATAGCATGTTTTAATTCTGAAATAAAACTTCTCTTAATTGTATTGTAAAACCTTGCAGCTGAAAGCAGAATTAATACATAAACCAAGACACAAAGGGCTCTATCCAACAACCCTTGGGAGCAGCTTTTCAAAAGAGCTCTGCTCCCATTTTTGCCACTGAACTGAACCAGCCATTGTTCCTGAGGCTGAACACTTTTAACCTTTAGGTGCCTTTAGAGCCATTTGGGATAGAGATAATTTCAAATTCCTGCTAAGGCTCCCACAAGCAGCATAGCTGTGAATATACCGTGACAAGCATATGAATGAAACAGCATTACTCACGTGCGTAGCTACTAAAACAGAAACTGAAAGATGGCTAATTTCATACTGAAAGAAAGTGAAAGCTTTGTATTGAATCCTGATTTCAATAACCTAGGGCAAGACCAAGAACCTTAACGAGTAATCTTCAATGAGACCGAAATGCAAGTAAGATCTTTCAAGTTTGTTAGGGTCTGTGGGACCGGAACTTTGATCAGCAACACTAAAAAAGTACAGATTCATCTTCAAACATGATGCAAGTGGAATTATGTGCTACACTTATCTGAATTGGACCAGGACTGGTAATGTCTTTATATCCTGGCATTAGACGGCATACAAAGCTTCTAACAGCAGTCTTCAGACAGGCAATAGCTACTGCTGTTGTAAGATGCAACAAGGGCAAAATAGACTAACAAAAGTAGTTCTGTTTCATGAGTTAGAGAGTGCCATAGAATATGACGGGGTCTATTGTCTGGGAACTGGAATCTGTAATGCAAGGGACTGTTACCAGAAGACGTAGAAGTTAAACTGGATTTTAGTGCTATCAGCATAAATGACCATGTTGCTAACTTTATTTAAAAAAAATAGTTTCAAAAGAAATATTATAGAACAGATACTTTGTATATGTCTGTGTACTTGAATTTTGATGAAAAATCCATGCAGAATCATATTAGAATTATTAGTGCAAAGTCTTAAATTATAAGCCCTCTGTAGCAAAACACAGCCAAGAAATTTGAAAACTGGCATTCAGTTTTGGTGCAAAAAGTTCCCGTAGGAACAATAATATCATTTAGACATCTAACTACTCAAATGAGACTGCCAATCAGGTAGTTAGTTTCTTAAAAGACACCAATTACGCACAATGATAGCCATGGACTAAGATGACATTTCTCTTAAGCATAAAGACTTGCAGAAAATGGCATGTCTAACAAGCAATCATATGGTTGAATGGCTGATGATGCATTTAATCTGGGCATAACATTTTTATGGTCATGAAGAGCCATTTTATGTTCCACTTTCTAGTTTTTCTACAGAAATCTGATGCTGTCTTGTACAGATTTTTTGTATGGCTGAGTTATGCTCCATGAAATTAAAGACAGTATCTGAACTGCATTGAAACTGAATTAAGACATTCCTAATCAGCATACATTCAAATACCAACAGCTTTCATTTATTTGAAATGACAGCAAAAATAGAGTTAGGAATCGCCACACAGCAGGTGAGATTTTCTGATTTGGCATGCACAATACGCAGCCTAACACCCCTAAAAAGTCAGTGGAAGTTGAGGACTTATTTTTTCCAAAGAAAAACTCATAATATGACTGAGGGTGTGTCTACACAGCACGCTGTTTCTTTGCACGATGTAAACACACCTGCACTTCTATCTTGTCTTCCTGCTATTAGCATCCTAAAAGACTGATAGAAGGATCCACGCTGCATGAGTAAGTCCACAGTCATCTCTCAATGTCTCACCACATCTTGTGCAGACATGTCTGCAGATGCTAATAACTCACCTCAAATTATTAATATGAAAGTTGTTTTTATTTATTTTAACTCAAAGTGTGACTTTCATGGAGCATTTTGAGTTCATACTTTTTTTCAGCATTGGGGAACACAACACTGGCTACACCAGTGGTATCTGGGACGTATCAACCTGCTATTTTCACCTTCAATGTGTTTTTCTTCATTAACAGTTCTATCAACAACAGTGGAAGACACAATTTAGGTACTTCATTGTTGGAATCAGAACAGTTACCATGTTTAGACACTATATTCTCTTCTAGGAGTACAGCCGGGCATGGGGGTAGTTAAAAGTAGCCATCCATCTACACTAAATTGCTGGTGTGTACTCACAGAAGCCGGTCAGAAACATTGTTCTAAACTGGAAGAACATTTTCAAGATGGAAGAGATGTTTAAATGCATCTCAAAGAGAAAAAAGTCATAAAGACTTAATCCTTTTCTTCCAGCTTTCCCTTTTCAATTTGCAGCAAACCTCAAGATTAGCCTAAATTACCCTGATTACATTTTCCAAGCATTCAAAAACATATTCAGAACTTAGAAAATGAGCAGATTTGGACATTAGAGATTATGGTGAGTTTAGATTGTCCTTGAAAATGAGGATGAATATTCCTTAAAGCAGTGGAAAGGTTCTTAAGAACATATCCAGGTAAAACAATTGCTTGAACATTGCTGCTTAAAACATAAAATCATTCTTTGGTCAACAGACCACCCAAAAATCAAAGAGTTAAACCGATGTTGTCCATCCTACCTTAAGCTTTCTGAGTTCTGAA